CATATCTCCTGACCACTAGGGGCCACTGCAACAAAACGGTGTAGGCAACCTCAGGTCATAGTTGTCATTATTCACAATAAACTTGTTGTGTGTCGAGTTAATCATTGCAGAGATATAGCCTCGAGTGCGATTCTTTATACTATTTTACGAGTTGGATTGCTTGTTATTTGACATTGATTGAAGTAACCGTCTTGAATTCCATTTTGCCAGCATGGTCTAATGATGATCTGAGTCAATTTTTGTGATAATAGGACAAACCATTTAGGATGAGTTTAAAGTAGATTTTACGAACTATTAAAAATAGAAAATAAACTAACCCTTATATTTTTTTTATTTGGTGCCAAATTGAATTGTTATTTTTTATTATATTATATTTATTATATTGAATTGTTGAATTGTTATTGTTGAATTGCCAAGGATTTAGAAAAAAAGTATTTTGGTTCTGCAGCTTAAGATTCAAAAGGTATTAGCTTTTCAAAATTGCAACTCGTGGCGCTAGAGAGTTTAAGTTAGAGAAGGGGTGAACTCTGTCCTGAAAGTTTCTAGCATACCTAGAAAGAGCCTGATTAGCCGTTTTAGGTGTGTTTAATTGGGTTTGGAACTAAAATATGCAGAACACTGGCCCTTTAGGACAGAGTTTGGGCACTCTTGTGTTATAGGGGCCAAATTTGCTGTGGTTAATGACCAGGTTGTCTCTATCAGTGTGCCATATTTCATAACATTTGAGTGAACGCCTTTGTACACTGCCATTTAAATCATAGAAGTAGAAGAATAGGAACTGAAACAATAACAATAGGTGCCTTCATAGCTTGACGCCTAAAAACTCCTCTCAGAATTAAAGCCACAATCTAATATATCATGTTTCACAGCTAAAATGCTTTTGTAAAGGGAACACGTGGGAGGATCTTCTAGTATTAAACTTGTGTGTTCCATTGCTTAGTTACATCCCGTCATTCATCCTGTCATATCCTTTACATTTGCTTTAGAATCAATATCTTACCATTTTGGAGATACTAATCTACCAATTAATCGGTCTTTCACATGGAGAAATATATTCATGTGTATGCATAATTGTGCACTGAAAAGTTAAAATCCAAACAAGTCTTTAAAAAAAATGCACACAACTGTTGCATATGGAAAGGATGTGGAAATTAATAATCATTTGAACCATTTTACCTAGGCCTCTCCACTTAAGAGAATAGTTCACCCAAAAACTAACATTTTACTCACTATTTACTCACTCAAATCCTTTAAGGACTTTGTTGAACTCTAAAGAAGGTATTTTAAAGAAAGCTGAAAATGTACCCATTACTTACAAGTCATAGCTTTCCTCAAAACATTATCTTTTGTCTTCAACCAAATAGAGAATAAGTAAATAAATAAATAAATAAATAAATAAATAAATAAATAAATAAATAAATAAACAAACATTAGTATCTGGATGCAGCCTTTTTGATACAAGCTGAGATTGGGTTAGGGGTGGGGTTAGGTGAGCGCATTAAAAAGCACTGGATGCAGGTTAGATCGCACCGCACCAAGTCTGCATCCAGAAAATAAATGAATAAATAAATAAATAAAGTAAACAAATAAGTACACTCAAAGTTAAGTAAATAAGTAAATAAAATAAAGTAAATAAAATTAATAAGTAAATAAATAAAAAAACTCAACTTTTGAAACGAGTTAAATGGGGAGCAAATGATGAAAAGACTTCGTGAAAAGCCCACACTCACACTATGTTTGCAATTCTTATTAAATTCACACCCAGTGTGCAATGTGTTGTGGGTAATATTAGCCTTAATACTAGTAAATGCACCGATCTACAGTTTGCATATCTGCCAAAAACAGATAATCCAGTCAACTATGGAATACTCATTTACACACTCTGATATTGGGACAAGCTTTTTCAAATCCTACACTTTGGATGTACAGTATGAGAACTGGGATGCAGCATCAATCCTCAGACTTTATCAGTCAATACATACTGTACCCCTAATCCACAGTACCACTTCCAAGCTTATCCTGATCCTCTCATCTCCTGTATCAGGAAAGCTCACTTAAATTCTCGACATCTCTTTTTTTCCCCCCTCTTACAAGCATCTCATATTCTCTCTCTCTCTCAGACACAGTATTTCTCACTCGCTTCCATCTGCTTTTTACCTCATGCAATCGCAGACACCCAGGCTGAGGGAAAGACTAACATTTAAAACTTCCACAAGTTCCCTTCATCTCTCCATCTGCGTGGATCCTCACCCCTGTTAAGTGGAAACATTCATCGAACATCACAGGACATCCATGTCAGTCTTTGAAGTCGAGCGCCAATCAGTTTTCTAAAGGTAATGGAAGAACATGCTTATCAGAGAGATCCAGCTCCCGTTTGATTCAGCCCAGACCCTGTGGCTGGTTGGAAGAACAAAGATTTCACCCATAAACGGCTCATCTGAAGATGTATCCGGACAGGACAGGGTGGTCCAGCCATTGAGCTGGTGGAGAGGGTACTTAAATTGAAAGATTGTAGCATGTGGTTTGTGTGCTAGCTGACTCCTTAAAGCGTCTCTATGTATATGTGCACATTTAGTGTGCAAGATCTCGATCAGAGACCCTGAGAGACCCTGGTTAACCTCGCGGCTCAAATCCAGATAACCGCACAGACAGACAGCATAAGTTGTGGCTATGAGATGTTTGGACAGATGTAAAGCTCGCAGCTCAACTGGGGCTGGGCTGAGAAAGCTGATATCAATATTTACTCAATGATTCATCCACAAACAAATCATTTCCATGCAGCCTCGAAGGTAACCAGCTCTTGTCTGCAGCAGCTCAAAATATTTCACATCTCTGTAAAATCACCTGATGCAGGTACACAAGTTGGAAGGGAGGGTTGTGGTGATTATTCCATTTAATTTCAGTTACATTGTGTGTCTGAAAAAGCCTGTCAGTTGTTGTGCTTCACCAACTTTGCCAGTAAAGCAAAAGAGCTAAAAAAAAAAAAAGGGGGCAAAAATGTGGAATCTATCTATCTATTTACAGTAAAGACAGTTAAAAAATCCATTCCAATGTGTGACGATTCACACTTGCCATTGTTAAATCTATACTTATGTGTGGATACTGCTGGAATATATGCATTTCCCTTTGTGATGAATAAAGTTAGTATGTGAATAAAGTAAAGTAAGTAAGAAAGAAAGCAAATAAGTAAAGTAAGTATAGTAAAGAAAGTATAGTAAGCATAGCAAAGAAAGTACAGTAAAGTAAGTACAGTAAAGTAAGTATAGTAAAGAAAGTATAGTAAGCATAGTAAAGTAAGTACAGTAAAGTAAGTATAGTAAGTGTAGTAAGCAAATAAAGTAAAGTATAGCAAGTATAGTGAGAAAGAAAAGCAAGCAAAATAAGCAAGAAAGCAAGTAAAATAAACTATTGTTACTTCACTTTGTTACTTTTAGTTACTTAAAATATGTAAAGCAAGCATCTATCCATTTATCCATCCATCTACAGTTAAAGTCAGAATTATTAACCCCCTGAATTATTATCCCTGTTTACTTTTTCACCCAATTACTTTAACTGAAAAAAGATTTTCTTCAACATTTCTAAACAATAGTTTTAATAACTCATTTCTAATAATGGATTTATTTTATCTTTGCCATGATGACAGTAAATATTTTACTAGATATTTTTCAAGACACTTCTATACAGCTTAAAGTGACATTTTAAGGCTTGACTAGGTTAGTTAGGTTAACTATGCAGGTTAGGGTCATTAGTCAAGTTATTGTATAATGATGGTTTGTTCTGTAGACTATTGAAAAAAAATTAGCTTAAAGGAGCTAATAATGTTGACCTTGAAATGGCTTTTTAAAAAATGTAAATCTGCTTTTATTCTAGCCGAAATAAAACAAATAAGACTCTCTAGAAGAAAAAAATTGATCAGATATGCTGTGAAAATTTTCTAACTTTGTTAAACATCATTTGGGAATTTAAAAAAAAAAAAGAAGAAGAAAAAAAAATCAAAGGGGGGGCTAATAATTCTTTCTGTCTGTCTGTCTGTAAATTGGTTTGGATGTAGCACTTTTGCTCATGTTCCAAATCTAACAATTAGTAGCAAATGGTTTAAAGTGATGAGAGCTGATGTTGATATTGAGGAAAATTTATTACTAAATTTTTCATTATTATTATTATTATTTTTATTCATTATTACTTAAGTTAGTTAGACAACAATGGTACAAATATGACAAGTTTACATAAGAACTATAAATAGCGAATGCTCTTTATTTAGTTGAAATAAAGCTACTTTTTAAAATTTTACTCATGAGTGATATTAATGTTTTCATTTTTAATTAGTTTATTTTATTTTATTTTTTTAAATCACAATTTAGTTTGGTAACATTTGGGATACAACATGTCCAAAGAGTCTCATGCTTCCAAAAACCACCACGATCATTGAGTGTTGGCTTCATTTTTTGAGGTGCAAGTAATTTATTATATAAGAAAAAGGTCCACATCTCACCAGCTCATTGGATGGAAAAGTGGATTTATTCACCAATGTTTTTTGTAATATTCCAATTTTATCTATACAGTACATTTAATTAGCATCTTTGGACGGAAACAAAACTCAATGATTCACTAAATTTGATAAAACTGCACAACTAAATCTGCTTTCGAAATGAAAGAGTGATCAAGTATCTGTTCATAATCATTTCAAACTATTCATAGAAGCAAGCTTTAAAAGTAATAAAAACTATTTCTGAGACCAATTAAATATTAACAGTTAAAAAAAAAAAAATTTAATAAACACACTAAACAATAACATTTAAAATTTTGTGAGGAATGTTACTGAACACCTAAAACATTGTACACTAAATGCGCTCATTTTACTGTATGTGTACATGTAATGTTACTTTTATTATATCACAACCCATGAAGGGTTTAAAAAATGCATAAAGGAATCAAAACAGCACCAATCATTTTTGTCTCACACACACACACAAATATCTGCTGTAAGATGCGTTTCTATGAAGGTATTTTTGGGGCAAATCTCCCAAGCAGCTGTAAAAGTGTAATTTGTAGTTGTAAAGAATAGCCACAAATGTGTATCAGTAAATTTGTACTCGCAGAGCAAATTTGCAAATGTGTATCAGTAAATTTGTACTCGCAGAGCAAATTTGCAAATGTGTATCAGTAAATTTGTACTTGCAGAGCAAATTTGCAAATGTGTAGGTATTTTTTGTCTCCAACAAACACAACGCAACATTTACACCTGCACAAATCCTTCAGTACAGGTGCACAAATCCCATCGGACGAATCACAAATGCAGAAACTCATCTGCTCATGTTCTTTGCTACTATTGTTTCAGTGAATATGGTGCAAAACACATTCACACACCTGCATCCAGAAATGTGAAGTCACAGACAAAACTTGCACATCTGTAGATTAGAATGTGTATCCGCACAAAGATAGCTGAACGTGTGTAGAATGTTTGATTTATTTTTTTCCAAGCACGAACACAAATATGTTCCTGCAACTGCTCAAATCTGCCGCTACGAGTCTCAAGCGCTGTTTTTCACTTGCAAATCTACGTTTCGCTCTCTCGCTCTTCTGCACCAAACATCACTGTGACATTTGGTGCAAAAGTGACTTGTGTATCTGCCAACCAAAACGTGGGCTCTCAGAGAAATTCAGCCAATAGGGGATGGGGCGTGACGTCACCGCTCTAGCGCTGCGGAGGCTGAACTTCGAAACCGAAACCCCCTTTGCGAGATTCGCCGCATCTATACCTGATTTGCGTTCAAAAATACCTGCTTAATTATTTCATAGTAGGAGCAAACATGCCTTAATAAAAGGAGCACATTTGAAACTTTAGTAACCATAAAAAGTACACCAAGTGGATGCCTTTCTACTCCAGGAAGCCGCAGCATACGGCCTGAAGGAGGAAGGACGCGGTCAGTTTGAAATGTGAGTATTAAACCAAAGACAATTCCTTGTGTTAAACTCGTATTTGTTGAGCTACTGTACAGTGCACTGTAGAATTGCTAAGGGTGTAAAGAGGCTTTAAATTATAGCCTATTTTATTTTGCTGTAAACGTTGATTATGTAATGTTACGTTCTCCAGTCAGCACATATAAAGTAACGTTTCAAAAGTAAAAGAGATAATTATCAAATGTCTGACAGAAAAATATTAAGTATTGCAGATCACAAGACTAAACAGACATCTGAGTGAGTGATGTATTTGTGCAGATGTAGAATCTGCTGTCAATTGACTGTTGCCAATTATACTGATACATGTAATCTTAATAAATGAGAATAAAGGGTTATTTGTTTAATCTGTGCATCAGAATAGTTGATCAATTAAAGAATTGTGACCGCGTGAGCTTCAAAAAACACGTTTTGACAAGCCAGACTCATTTACAATCTTGATTAAAGTATTCTGTTTTATTAATTTAAAAAAAATTCAGTCTGCAAAAGATGAAAGAGAAACTAATTCAGCATAGAGCGCAGATTTCTGTGCGCATCACGCGTCTGAACGCGCATTACCAAATGCACCTCCATTTAATATCAGTCCATGCAGTCGTAATTCATACAATAGAAAGTCTTAAAGAACACAAACAGTTAAACAACACTGTGGGATAATCGGGAGATGTATTGGGCCCGCTTAAACATTATAGCATTTTTCTCACGGAAAGAGCAAATATTAATCAATCTGTTAATGACGCACAGAAACGGACAGATCACAGGCAGTTTCAGTAGTAAAGTTCGTGCAAAGTGCAACGTACACAATTCAAACACCAGTGCAAAACACTTTGATGCAGTTTGTGTCAAAAACATCAATATTTCGACACATATCCACACATAATCTTGCTTTCGCTTTGCTCTCTCTAAATGCGCGCTCTTCTCTTGACGCGCGCTGCTGTGTGTACCTCATCTGTAAATTTGGAGAGGTTAGAAACTGAACTCATTTCAATATCACTGACTCGATTAATTAAATACGAAAGCCGTGTAACGTGCTATCGATTGACGTATTGTCTTTTTTCCTCTTTAAATCTCTTAAATTATCATATGTGATCTCTCTGTTATTCGACTTTTAACTGATAAGGAAAAAATGTCAAAATCATACACAAGATATCTTAAACTGTTACTGTTCACTGTTGTGCTCAACAATAGTGCAATACCATATTAAAAATTCAGAATTCAATAATGAATACAATAAATATTGATAATTCAAGATGTTTCAGGGAGCAGGTCGACACACACACATACAGCGCTATGCTAAAGCACATGAAACGCCATGTGTGTGTCGATTAAAACATGTTATATGCTAAATAAATTCCGAAATTTTTTTTTGATAGGCTATAAATGATACTGTTTTAGCTATCTATCTACCACTAATAAGTAGGCTAATATGCAAAGAAAATCTGCTATTCAAAAATTTGTTTGTTAGTTATAAAAAATACTAATGTCCATATTGGCTCTGGTGCATTAATAATAACATTAAGATTTTTTTTTAAATCACAAAATATAGAAAATGGTATGGAATGTTGATATTTTTTCAAAGGTATCATCTTAAAGTTGTAAATTCCAACACTACAGTTAAAACATATTTATTTTTTATAATTCAGCTTTTGCTGAACAAATGATAAAATGTTTTAATTTTAGGGAATAAAAAGTTTTATATTGTTTGTCAACTCTGTCATGGAGGATTTTAGTAATGTTCAGAAATAATAATAAGTTATAGCAAGACAAATCGTAATGTGTAGTTACTAAATTTTAACTGAATTGACAGTAATTTACAGTTTTACAACTTTTTAGCCAAATCTTTTGCTTTCCATAACTGCAAAGATCACGATACTGAAATCAGGATTAAAATATTTTTTATTTGTAAAATGTGATTAATGAAATATTCAGTTTTCCTTTTGTAATTGTGATAATAGCATTGACAGTTTACAGTTTAAACATTTAAAATTAAAATATTGGTGAATTTTTTTTTAAAGAAAAGCAAAATAAAATATTTTTGCATGATGGAAAAATGCACTGACTACTTCGTAAATCAAGAAATCGTGATTTTTGGTAATGTGATCTTTGAAAATGATTAACACATTTTATAAATAATCAAAAATGTAACAATGTAACGTAACAATTTTTTAAAAGCTGAAAAAAGGATGGCTTTGGTCACTAAATGTACCTGCAATTACAAAATCACCTATATAGTTCATGGAGAGCAACATGTTTTTCTAGAGTTTTCTTGCAAAACTTGGCAAACATCACTTAAGCAAGCAAACACTGACATAAATATAATCTGCAGTACAAATACTAGTTTTAAAATAAAAGTTAGTTTGCTTTATTAAAATGACAGACAATAGTATCAATTATTTTATTACTTTTAAAATCATTGTTTATATATATATATATATATATATATATATATATATATATATATATATATATATATATATAATTTGTCTATTTTTGTTGGTCCACCCAAAATGTCACTTGGCCCACCCTAAAGTTCCAAGCTGGAGCCGGGCCTGATCACATAGGTGATTTATTCTAGTCTTGATGTTACAGGGAGGCTTTTATTGAGTACAGTACAGGAACTAAAAAAACATATTTTACATTTGCTATTTATTGTTAGTTATTGTATTTTCAAACAGTGATTACATCAGCTTTCTGATTGCTGTTGTGTGTGTGTGATTTTTCTGCAGAGCTGTTGTGATGGAGCTGAACCTGTAGACAAGGGAACTAACACATTTGAGGTAAAAAGAATCCAAAATAAGAGGTAGGATCATTTTATTACTAGCACTACAGAAATCAAATGACACATTGTGCAGTAAAATTACTTTGTTTTTTGAATGTTTTTTTATGTTTTGTATGATTTGAAATATCTGCAGATTGGTGTGTGTGGTGAGGGTAAAGAAGTCCACAGCAGCATCCTGGAAATGCTGTAATGCAGGGGTGCCCAAACTTAGTTCTGGACGGCTGGTGAAGTTTAAAGTCAACTTCAACTAAACTCTGCAAGACAGCAGCAGTTCTGGACTGAGTTTGGCCAGTCCTGTTCTCCTGTAGTCAATTGAACGAGACCCTGCATCAGTCCACCTGCCCTTGTGTCCTCATCTGGACCAGATATTGCTGTGGCCTCTTTATCGTCCATATCTCGGGCATGGACTGCCATGCATCACCGTCCTGTTTCAGTCTGACTGCAGCAATGAGGGATGTGATGATGGCGAACTCCCTCTGATAATCTGCAGAACTGGCCCAGCTGTGTGGAGATGCAGCAAAACATGGGCCTCTGTCTGTAATACATCACTGTTAGAATAAAGCTTGGTTTCATGTGTTGTTGACATGTATTTATTTGTCATGATTACTTATATTCATTCTTTTAATAATATGAATATGTTTGTTTTCAATAAATAATGATAATACTTTCAATATTGTATGCATTTCCATTGTTTAACAGAAATGTAAAAAAATAAGATGCATTGTCTAGTGACTTCAAGTAGATTTACTTAGTTAATTTTCCACATTTATCATTACTAGCAATGCATTCTTGGCTAAAATGTTAAGTAAACATACATTTTTTGGAATGAAATGAATCATAAAACATGGTAGCATTAGTTATTAAGGTAAAGTTGGTTTTATATTTGCACATTTAAACATTTTAATGGTCCCTATATTGTTTACCATGGTACTTTAAATATTTGGTCTGAATGACTTCAAAACAACATTAGCACAAATATTTAACTGACTGTGGACAGTGCTGTATTTTGATGGTCATTGGCTGCTAACATGAATTCCCTATATAGAATTTGAAAATCTTTTTCTGAAATTATATTATTAAGGAGAAAGTCAGAATGTGCAACTATAAATCCAGCTTCACCTCAATGCATTGGATGCACCCTGGTCTGCCATTTTTCTAAAACAAATATAGCTTATGAATTAAATAGTTTAATCGTATTATGTGATAAGACTGAATAGCAAACTTGACATTAGGGCAAGCTAGCCACGTTACCTTTCGTAAAACAAGAATTGTTATCCTAGCTATAAATACTGATCACTAACATAGTTATATTTAAACTAACATCAAAATGTACAACTATAATTGGTTTTATAAAAAGAAGCAATGAAAACGTACCTTAACTGCATTGCTGCTTTCAGGATGTCATCGATTCAGCTCTGCAGAAAAAGCACGCACACACACCAGCAATCAGACAGCTGATGTAATCACTGTTTGAAAATACAACAACTAATAATAAATAGCAAATGTAAAATATGTTTTTTTTTATTTCTGTACTGTACTCAATAAAAGCCTCCCTGTAACATAGAGACTAGAATAAATCACCTCTGTGATTCACATGCTCAAATATAACATGTTGGTGTAGTTGCTGATGTAACACAAACCTTCCTCAATTGATCAACTATACTGATGCACAGATTAAACAAATAACCCTTTATTCTCATTTATTAAGATTACATGTATCAGTATAATTGGCAACAGTCAATTGACAGCAGATTCTACATCTGCACAAATACATCACTCACTCAGATGTCTGTTTAGTCTTGTGATCTGCAATACTTAATATTTTTCTGTCAGACATTTGATAATTATCTCTTTTACTTTTGAAACGTTACTTTATATGTGCTGACTGGAGAACGTAACATTACATAATCAACGTTTACAGCAAAATAAAATAGGCTATAATTTAAAGCCTCTTTACACCCTTAGCAATTCTACAGTGCACTGTACAGTAGCTCAACAAATACGAGTTTAACACAAGGAATTGTCTTTGGTTTAATACTCACATTTCAAACTGACCGCGTCCTTCCTCCTTCAGGCCGTATGCTGCGGCTTCCTGGAGTAGAAAGGCATCCACTTGGTGTACTTTTTATGGTTACTAAAGTTTCAAATGTGCTCCTTTTATTAAGGCATGTTTGCTCCTACTATGAAATAATTAAGCAGGTATTTTTGAACGCAAATCAGGTATAGATGCGGCGAATCTCGCAAAGGGGGTTTCGGTTTCGAAGTTCAGCCTCCGCAGCGCTAGAGCGGTGACGTCACGCCCCATCCCCTATTGGCTGAATTTCTCTGAGAGCCCACGTTTTGGTTGGCAGATACACAAGTCACTTTTGCACCAAATGTCACAGTGATGTTTGGTGCAGAAGAGCGAGAGAGCGAAACGTAGATTTGCAAGTGAAAAACAGCGCTTGAGACTCGTAGCGGCAGATTTGAGCAGTTGCAGGAACATATTTGTGTTCGTGCTTGGAAAAAAATAAATCAAACATTCTACACACGTTCAGCTATCTTTGTGCGGATACACATTCTAATCTACAGATGTGCAAGTTTTGTCTGTGACTTCACATTTCTGGATGCAGGTGTGTGAATGTGTTTTGCACCATATTCACTGAAACAATAGTAGCAAAGAACATGAGCAGATGAGTTTCTGCATTTGTGATTCGTCCGATGGGATTTGTGCACCTGTACTGAAGGATTTGTGCAGGTGTAAATGTTGCGTTGTGTTTGTTGGAGACAAAAAATACCTACACATTTGCAAATTTGCTCTGCAAGTACAAATTTACTGATACACATTTGCAAATTTGCTCTGCGAGTACAAATTTACTGATACACATTTGCAAATTTGCTCTGCGAGTACAAATTTACTGATACACATTTGTGGCTATTCTTTACAACTACAAATTACACTTTTACAGCTGCTTGGGAGATTTGCCCCAAAAATACCTTCATACGTTTCCAACACCTTTATTGAACTATAATGAGCAACACTGCAACGATGGTATGCTTGAGTATTGTGTCCCTTTTATTTTGTTGCATCATATGCTCTTTTGGTTTGTTTAGATGTCTTTGATCCACATTTTGTTTGTATTTCAGTTGAATCACAGACCAAAACCCATCTTTCACCGGTCTCTGTAAGCTAGATTGATGTGCACAAAAACTTTCACACTTATTCAAACAAACTACTCCAACACAGCAACTGCAACAGAGTTTGATTTACTTTTACCAAACCTGCCATATGGGAACACACTCTTACTGTGTGTGTTAATGACAGATATGCAGCGAATTTAATAAAAAGAGGACAGTCATGGTTAAATTGTCTATCAAATAATTCATCATATTTTTGTTATTGAAATGGTCTATGATGATGCTCTGTAATATATTTGGTTAATACTAAATTTAATTATGTCCTAATTGCGCCAAACAGCAACTCAAGTTTAGACTTGTTCACACGCAGATGAAGTCTTGAATTTATTTAGTGGCCCGCTCCAAAGAAAAGACAAATGTCTCTTTGATATAGTTTAAAGCCAGAGGAAAGAGCACTGATGTTTTCAAAGGCACTGTCAAACATCCAGATCTATGGACTTGCTGTAGCACCAGTAACTGCACAATGATTTCGTGGCAGGACTAGGAGACATAAATATTTATAAAATGTATTAAATTAATCATGTAGACATGTATTAAATGACTAATTAATATAGTTATTATGCTATAGCACTTGTATTCATTGACAAACATTACAAACATTTAGTTTTTAATACAATACACATGTAATGACATGCATGGTTTAACCTATAATTATGATGATCTAAAATGCATCATATTATTGATGAAAAAAATGTAAAAAAATATTAATACATTAACATTAAAAAACTGTTACAGATTTTATTGTAACGCTGAAATTTACATATGCATTGTTTTCCTTAACTGCACAGTATGTAATTTGTACCACTAGAGGGTGTGTATTCACAACAAACAAAGTGGCTTGATTACTTTGACAAGTGTGAAATCTTGGTAGTTGTGCTCCACTTTAATGGTCTTCATCATGTTTATGGATGAGCTAAAATATTCTAAACTTTTTATTATCATAGCATAAAGAGTAAGACAAAGCAGTCAAAGCGCAACAAGAGCTAATTCCACTTTGTGGACTCAGAGGTGTGCCAGTCTAGAAAGAAAGGTGTGTTAAGGCACAAAATAGCATTGCTACTTTGAGGAACTAAAATGGACTATCTAAAATTATTGACTATTGAAAATCATTGACTATCTAAAAGCTGCTATACATCCAGCGTAGAGTGTGTTAGTTACGGGCCTACGCAGGCCCAAAAGCTTACACATTGCTTAATACATACAGGATGTACAGCAATAAACATATAAATCTTTACATATAAAAAAAATTAAAGGATTCAAATGTTACAAAAATTATTATTTACTACATTAATTAGAACTGAATTTAGAAATGGTTTAAAGTTTGAACAAATCTTTGTGCTTAAACTAAATTAAATATGTAGACTAATGGATGTCTTCAGTGAAGTGCGTACAACTCTTTTCCTATCCACAAAAGTAAAGGAGTAAAGTAGAGCGTAAAAGTAAAGAGAAAGTAAAAAGGCCGAATGGAGGAGGCACGTTCTTTATTCTCACACTGCAGATGGTTTGTTTAATGGTTAGTTTTCTAGTCTGCCATGTAATAAGCAAATTCGCCATGGCGCGACGCAACAGACTCTAAAGGGAGATGAAACTCTAATTGGTTTAATGCACGTTATGCTCAACATACACCTATAACTCATTAAGAGAATAAGCACAACCCTGTTAGACCATGCCCCAGGGCGCAGAGCGTATTTTTCAGTACATAAATTAGCAAAAGTTTATTGAGACACATCTTTAATGCTTTTGCTCTATGCATTTTAGGTCAACAAAAACCTTCTTTAAAAATAACGATTTGACATGTCCTGTGATAATAATCAACACTGAATGATAATTGTCATAATTTTTTAAACATTACCCAATCCTAGCAGAGTGGGAAAAGCACATATCCAGCTGTTGAATGTGGGACGGTAACCTACCTCCAGTCTTCCCGTGTCAGGCTGGAAGCCACGTGCCGGGTCCTCTGTGGTCACACGGCACTGGATGGCATATCCATTGATCCGTATCTTGTCCTGCTTCAGTCCCAGCTCGGGCAGACTGCGACCTTCACACACTCTCAGCTGAGCGTGTACCAGATCCACACTGGACGACAAAAAGACAGAAAAACACACACACAGCGGTTAGAAAGCATTTGCTAAACCACAAAAACAGATCCTGGCTCAGACCCCACAGCACTGACACTCCAGCACTCCAGATGAGTGCACATTATCAGGCCAGCGATCCGGAATCACAACAGATTCACTCAAAACAGCCGCTTGACATTCCAGCAGGCGCAACACGTCGAGAAAACATTCACACCGGTGAAGCGAGATGCCTGCTTGCTCCAGTAACTTCTATTAGACAAGCTTGACAACTAGCAATACACCTGACAACGCTGCAGTCGCTTGACAAGGAGTGGGATGAGGGGGGGGGATTGTCGGAGGAAACCGGTGTCTCACTCAACGACACACAAACAGGAAATGCCTCCTAGATTCATGGCAAGCGCTTGATTCACTCTGGCCTCAATAGCTTCGCAATTAAATCACTGCCTCAGCTCAATTGAATGAAGCAGGCTTTTCCAAGGGCTGATTGGCTATATTTGGCTGAATCTGCCATCTTATTGGATAAGTGCTTTCCCCAGTGTGAAGTTGGATTTATTAAGAGCCATATAAATCACACTGATATATTTACTCACCCTAGATTCACCGGGCTCACTCCTTGTGTCCCACAATTCCTCATGCTCATATATCAGGTCAATTTTAGACTTACCAGCACAAAAAGAAGAACTGAACCAGGGTTGACTCTAATGAGGGTGGAATGGTGCACAGAGTGAACAGAATGTTGTTATTTGAAAGTCAATGTGAGCATGTAAGGAAAACACTATAATGCATTTTTGTCATTGTTATTCATTCACTCATTTTTCTTCGGCTTAGTCCCATATTTATCAGGGGTCGCCACAGCGGAATGAACCAACAACTGTTTCAGCATATGTTTTATGCAGCAGATGCCCTTCCAGCTGCAGCCCAGTACTGGGAAACACCCATACGCCTTTGCATTCACAGATTCTCATTCACTATGGCCAATTTAGTAAATCAAATTCACTTAAGCCACCTTTCCAAGGCAAGGCAAGTTTATTTATACAGCACATTTCACACAGTGGCAATTCAAAATGCTTCACATAAACAGAAATAAGAAACAAGTATAAGAAAATAAAAAACAAATAGTAATAAAACAGATAAAAACAGATTAAAATGTGATAAAACAGGTTATGAAAAAATGAAAAGCATAATAGTGTGATCTGTCAGACGTAGCGCAGTGCTCATTCAGTAAAGGCACAGCTAAACAGATGTCTTATTTGACGGTACCTAATGTTGGAGCACATTTAATCATTTCTGAAAGCTGATTCCAGCAGCGGGGGCGTAGTAGCTGAAGTCAGATTCACCCTGCTTTGACTGAACTCTTGGAATTTCTAGTTTATATGATCCTAAAGATCTGAGTAATCTATTTGGTTTGTTTTCAGTGATAATGTCTGTAATGTATTTAGGTCCTAGGCCATTTAGTGATTTATAAACAAGTAATAATACTTCAAAAAAATTTCTGAATGTAACTAGGAGCCAGTATAAAGACCTTAGGACAGGTGTGATGTACTCTGATTTTCTAATTCTGGTCAGAATCCTGGCAGCAGCATTGTGGATGCGCTGAACTGTCTAAGGGTCTTTTTTTGGAAGGCCAGTGAGGAGTCCATATGAGTAATCCACTCTGCTGCTGATAAAGGTATGAACAAGTTTTGCTTTAAGTTCTCACTGGAAACGAAGCATCAAATTCTTGCGATGTTTTTGACATGATAGTATGCTTATTTACTTACTGCTTTGATATGACTATTAAAAGTCAGATTTGACTCCAGAATCACACCTAGATTCTTGACCTTATTTTTTGTCGTTGGACCCTTAAGGCTGATTTATACTTTAATATAAATCAGGTGAAGTGCAAGCATATGCATTGGCATGGCCTACGTGTGGACGCATAGCCTTCGCCCAGGCCTTCGCTGACGCCCATCTCTCAAAAAAAAAAATGTAAGCACGTCACAACAACATGTAGCACAAGCTCTGTGATGGGTCAGCTTGGTAGCGCTGACAAGTGTGGGCGGGACCGAGAGCCAGATGAGCCAGATGGAGCAAGTGTTTACAAGTGTGGAGTCCCGTAAAGGAGCTCCGAATGGAAAGTTTTGTTTTGCGTTTACGTCATAGTTAAAGTTGTTAAACATCCGCTGGTTTCTACCTCTAAAGGAGCGAGTTTGAACCACTTGTACATTAAGGAAGCGTTCAGAAAAAAACAAAACACCAGCGAAGAAACTCGACACAGAAGAACATAAACACCTTACTGCCAACTAGCGTTTCAGAAGTGTTATTGCACAGCAACAGAAACTGCATGCAGAAGTATGAAGGCACAGCTACGCCTGTTGGAAGCGCCGTGAGTCATGCCGATCACTTGATGGAGAAGTATAAATCAGGCTTTAGAGCAAAGGTACGCATTCACCCTGAGAACCCCATCTCTGATCCGAAACGTAATGACTTAAGTTTTCTCTTTGTTTAACTGAGAAAATTTCGGCACATCCAACTGTTTCATCAATGCATTGGCAGAGGGTGTTAATGGGGCTGAAATCATTTGCAAAATTTTCCACATACAACATTTGGACACGACTGTCGGAATACAGCCCCTTGTGGCCGTGGCACAGAGTTTTCAGTTCTGTCGTTCATCATGGGAGAGAAGCTGTTCTCGCAGTATTTGAAAAAGAAGCTCAAGAGCAAAAGCCTTTATTCTCTGTGCGTTTACCTTGGTTGAACACTAGAAACTCGTAAACTGCATTTGTAGGGAAACTAATTTAAAAGCTTTTTTCTTTTTATATTGACTTTATTCTAATTCGAAAAATAATGAAAAAACTTTTATTTCTCATCTTGCGCACATAAACCTGCTTGGATAACACTGGAATACATTACATCCGGTCGGCTGGTCACTTGCAGTCTAGTCACAGGAGTTCAAATATTTCAATATATCTGCAGCTCAATTCGGATCCAAATTTTTCACATACGGATATCGGAACTCCACACAACTCCAGGACAACTCTCCACTGGAAATGAATACCTTCCAGTCTGTCGTTTGTCATGTACAGTGGAAAGTCAGCTTTATAGCGCATGTCTTTGGACTCCGAAACCGAACCACAAATACAAAACCCACGTGAACACAGGGAGAACATGTCAACTACACACAGAAATGCCAACAGACCCAACCAGGACTCAAACCAGTGACTTTTTTGCTGTGAGGCAACGTCGCTAACCACTGAGTCACCACCCCACTCCATATTCATTGTTATTATTAGTAATAGTTTTTTCACCATGTCACAAAGAATAAAAGAATAGCTTCGAGGCTAAAACTTCTCAATTCATCCTCTTCATGATAACTGAATACTCAAATTACAAAGAAAGTGTCAGAGAAAGATAAAGAGAGAGAGAAACTGCGGAATCATCCAGTGGGTCATGAAATATTTTAACCAATAAATGAAGAGCAAGACTGTATTTGCTTTCATGCCGTGCGTTAATAATTCATGCTACAAAGTGTCTGCTGTTTTTATCTCCGGCACAGAGGCATTTTGGAAATTTAGCATTTCTCGAAGGCCAATATTTAGACAGCACTCGGCATAATGGGAGTACACCCTATTTCGATAATGAACATTTTTATCCATTTCTCAGTGAATATAGAAAATGTATTTTGTTGCATTAAAACAAAACAGATTTATTAAACCGATATATTACTTAAAATTATATTTTAGTCACCAAACATTGATTTTAAACACTAAATTTGTATGCAATGTTTTTCTATAACATATAAATTTGGGTGTACTAGTTTTTGGACTGTTTTTGTACAAGTTATTTTGTTAGATAAGCTCCAGATTTGGCATCAGTATAGACTAATATAATGTATATGCTCAAATATAATATTGTATAGCTTCCTATAGAAAATATGAATTTAAAAAGCTAGATTAGTGAGGAGTGTACTAATATTTGCTGAGCACTGTATATATAAAATGCAGAGCATGCTTTTGATAACGCTATACGCACATGGTGATGGCAAAGGCAATATGTTTGCACAGATCTTAACATTATCTGGCTAGGGCTCATTAATTTTTTAACAATGGTACAAACAGACTCCCAATATTGCACACATACATCTTTATGACACTAGTGTATAATGATAACATCTCTCACATGAACTCTGGTCATAATAGCTGCAAGCTGAAATAATTACCAAATGAAACCTCAAAATAAGCTTAATGGATTATCCCCATTATTTTCTTTCCTGTAAATACTCCAGCAGATCAATGTGTTTTTGTTAAAGAAATTTAGACCTAATATTAGGGATCTGAGCAGCAAACAGTAGGGCTGCAAGATTAATCCAAACTAAGTGAAACAATTCTGCTCATTTTGTAAATCCTGATCAAGTCACTTAACCCATAAATACTGTTCCTGCAATTACTGAACTGACAGGACAAGTCATTGTAGATGAGCTGAAATGGTTACGGCATTAATTCTGCATTGAAAAGCTTTAAAGCTGTTCTTAGTAACGCTATATTAGCACTAATGTCAGTTAATCTTTCAGAAACTCACTAAACGCCGAATCTTGACTGCTGGGAGGAAAACCAAGAGCAAAAATAAAAGTTTACATGCACTCGAAAGGATTTATATTTTGATGCCACCTCCATTTATTCACAAAATGCGTTTTTCCTTATTTGCCCATCACTCAGTATGTCAACACAATTTGATACATGAATAATAGAACTGTCAGATCAAATATTTATTATAAAGACTAAGAAATCTAGAGTTGAATTTAAATTAAGACTGAAATGAGAACACAGAATAGCCAAAAGCATCTGATATTTCTAATAAAATTAAACTGCTTTAAAATAAGTTTGTGCACTTAAATGTCATTGTTTGACTAGGACACAGCAGATAAATTTTGAAGACACAAACACATGCACTTAAGCAGGCATTGATGGTAACGGCGGGTTTGACTTTGAGTGGACTCATTAAATGTTTACAGAGATTTTT